GGTTTAGGAGTCGGAGGAAGAGAGCGTTTGAGGTGGTCGGAGATCCGAAGAGGTGGAGGGTGCTTTTGGGAGGGCGGAAGTGAGGGTTGATGGTTATTGCGGCGATGGGGAGGGGTTGGTGATGGGCGGTGTTTTATGTTTCCGTGGAAGAAGGGCAGGGTAGAGGCCTGGGAAAGGAAAACGGGGAAGAGGGGATAGGATATAGGAGGTGTGTAATGTGGGGGACCGGGTGAGGAAAAAAAACATGGAGAGGATGGGAGGTCGGTGGTGGACTGCTTCAAAGGGGTCTTTAAAGGGGCGATGGGAAAAGAGAGAGAAAGGAGGCTTTTTGGTTGGGTATTCTGGTTCAGGAATGACTTCAAGGATGAAAGTCTGGTGGTTATTTGACTTTGGAGGGGTTGGCGATTCTGATACCTTAAGGAACCTAGTATGAACCTGGGAGACTTGCGCCTTACCATTCTATAATAAATATTAATTAGCATCATTGAAACCCTACATTTAGCAGCTTGTTATCCAGCTCATTGTCTCTACACCATTACTCTGATATGGATACATAGCATATCCTTTCTGCAGCAGATTCAGAAGCTCTTGAAAACAACCTGCAGCTCGACCCACTCACTGCACCAGGATACCACGGACCACCGATCAGAACTCGGCGATCTGGGCCCCTGAGCTTGGCGCCTTCTCTTTCTGGAAGGATGGCCATCAAGTCGGGCCCGCGGAAGCAACACCAGAGACTTTCTTCAACGGTTTCTGTTTCGTTTACTGCCGTTAATGCTCTTGGTCCTGCAAGCCAGCCGCACTCCGGAGTCCCAAACCAACAAAAGCACCCCAATTCACACCTCCTCACTGCTGCTCACTGCGCGTCGAGATCACGCTAATCCGGGGCAACCCCACTGTGGATCCAATCTGCAAACCCACTGGCGCCGACTGGACCGTGGTCCGAGACAACAATCTTGGAGCTCTGCCTGACCCGTTTCCACAATCGCGTCTCCAGCTTTGTCAAACGCCGAATGCGCCATCGTCATAGTCTTGTGCAGTTCCCATTCAATTCAAGACTTCCATGAGCAACATCGCGAACAGCACCGGCCATTCGAATCCTTCGAGCACTTTGAACTCCAGCGATCGACCGTCCCACTGCTCCGAGATTAAATTATTCTCTCCCCTGAGCCCGGCCACCTCAGTTCGGCTTTTTCTCCTCCGAGCTCGCTCTCCGCATCGCATCGCCTTCGTCTCTGCCACCCCTGATGACTTGGCCAACTGCAATTGTCGATTGACTCCGGCCGAAAAAGAGGGCTCCTCGAGATCACCAGCTCAACCACAGCACCCGCCCCGAGACCCCCGCGGATGACGACCGGGCCCTGTCCCACCGTGGTGGAGGGATGCAGTCGACAAAGGTGAAAGCCGAGGCCCTTGGGCGGAAGGCTAAGGTATGTTTTTTTGTGTTCCCCGCTATTGAGGTGTCGTTTGAGCGCTGACCGCCCTGCGCCTTTAGCTCGCACATTCGTACCAAGAGCTTCTCGAGTAAGGAACCGACCGGGTGCCGCAACTCCATCCCATTCACGGCCGCTAACCGCCCCCGCAGCGAATTCTCGAACAAGGACCTCAAGTCGGTCGGAAACTATACCCTTGGCCGTCTCATTGGGAAAGGCTCGTTTGGGAAGGTCTACCTGGCCACCCACAAACTTACAAACGGGTCCAAGGTGCGCTTGAGATGGAAGGGTCATTGCTGCTGCTGTAAGACTGAGCTAACATCTGCCAGGTCGTACTTAAGTCGGCCAACAAGGACGACTCGAACCTCGCGCGAGAGATCCACCACCACCGCCAGTTTGTCCACCCGCACATCGCCCGCCTGTACGAGGTCATCGTGACGGAATCACTGGTCTGGCTGGTCCTGGAGTATTGTTCAGGTATGTGCTATCTAGTGTCTGCAGATCCATCCTAACCCTCCCAGGCGACGAGCTGTACAACTACCTCCTCCAACACGGCAAGCTCCCCGTCGAGAAAGTCCAAAAGACCTTCACCCAGCTCGTCGGCGCCGTTTGCTACGTCCACCGGCAATCATGCGTCCACCGTGACCTCAAGCTAGAGAATATCCTCCTCGATAAGCACGAGAACGTTAAACTCTGCGACTTTGGTTTCACGCGGGAATATGAGGGCAAGGCCAACTACCTCCAAACTTTCTGCGGGACGATATGCTACTCGGCCCCGGAGATGCTCAAGGGGGAAAAGTATGCCGGCGAAAAGGTGGATGTGTGGAGTTTAGGCGTTATCCTCTACGCCCTGCTCACGGGGGAGTTGCCGTTCGACGACGACGATGACAACATCACGAGGACCAAAATCCTCAACCACGAACCAAACTACCCCGACCACATCCCCCCGGACGCCCTGTCTTTGCTGAAGAGTTTACTTTCGAAACGCCCCATCCTTCGCCCGTCCCTCCCTGACATTCTAGCCCACTCGTTCCTCGCCGAACACGCGCCCCAGCAGCAGGAGATTCTGAAGCTCGAGCGCCCAGAGCCGTTCTCGACGCCACTAGAGAAGGAGACGCTGCACCGGATGCGGAGCGCTGGCGTCGATATCGATTCGGTCGTCGACAGCGTGCTTGCGCAAAAATGCAATGTGCTAGCCGGCTGGTGGACGCTCTTGATCGAAAAAGAAGAGCGGAAACAGAAGAGGAGGGAGAGGAAGCGAAAGGAGAGGGAGCTGGAAAATAGGACCTCGAGGCGCTTCTCGCAGGCTTCAAGCCGCTTAAACGCGTTGGCGACTGTGGAGGAATCGTTCGTGAAGCTTTCGGACGCCCCGCTACCGAGAACTCGTGGCAGGT